TCATCTTATTTCTCATTAATTGAAAAATTCTCTCAAGATATTCCTAATTAACCTCAAATTAAATTTGTTTTGAGTTTCCACATAGTTAAGTTGTATTTTTGCATCACAGTTAGTTTCTACCTATAGGAAATCTTGTCAACTTTCAGCCCCCATGGTACAACCAATTTTCACCTTTTTTTATTTTAAGACAATAATAATTGATATATGCTCTCTGTTAGTGTGACTTAAACCTATTGATAAAGAATAATACTTATCACTAATAATGAATTATAGTACTTACCATTACCAAACTTTTTATATAGGTGTAAAGGGGTGGCAATAATTAACCTAGGGTCGTTAACCTAATGAACTTTAACCTCTTCAGATGTCTTTGATGTTGGCAATCAGTAGAAGCTACACAATGGCTATGGTGAAAATATTGATACATTTATTTCTGTTATTAATTATGGGGTGGGGGAAGGGTTTCATGTTTGAAGGATTAAGGAAAATTATAAACAGAAAAAGTGCTAATGGCCATTTTAAGAAAATTTTTATAAATTGAAATTTTGAGGTGTAGAATAGACATTGTTTCTAAGATGTGAATTTATTTAACACATTTCCTCTAATTCTCTTTGATGTCTTACTCTTCCTTTGAGTTACATAAATTTTATAAAAGACAATGCAGGAAGTTGTGTACTGTTTGTCTTTCATGTTCCATGTGGAGTCTCTAAAATTATATTTCTATTACATCAGATAACACTTATTGTGATAAATTTCTTTATAATTGACAGTTTCCCTTCAGTATTACAATTTGAAAAATGATGTAAAAATTACAACTGAAGTATGTAAACTCTTCCAAATATCAAATCTGGAATTAACAAGACTTTCTTTTATTTTTGGTTTACATGTCAGGGGGTTATAAGGAAATTTGACACAATGGAGTCAATTTGTTGCAAGATGACTGTGTAGAAAAAAATGTACCACTAAGAATCACAAATTGCTGATCCATTGCAATATTTCCGTCTTCATTAGCCCACATGTTGCAGGAAAGTAGGACGTAAACCACACTTCATTTCATTTCATTGCAGTATTTGATAATAAAAACATTGGCTCTAGTAGGTTTGAACACTTTCATTCATATTCATTGACTTGGTCAATTTAAATATTTGTTAAATTTTATTATTATTAAGTTTATAACTTGATACAGATTTGTATCAGAAATTCTTGGAAGTTGATATTTAGAGTAAATATGGTTTATATGTGTTGATTAGTTTATAACTGTAGGTAGTATGTATATTAAATAGTAATTAATCACTATAGAGTTATAATATTATTATATATTAATAACTTGTCAAATATTGTAAAACAGTTGGTAATCTCTTATACTTGTGTTGAGCCAATAAATTGATTTTTGATATACTGTTTATATGACCAGAGATTTTGATGCAATATATGAGATTTTTAGATTTTGATTGCAATTACAATTTTGTTAGTACTCTTTTGTAATATTTCCATCCAGAAAATTCAGTCAATATTGCAATTTATTCAAAAAATTGCAATTTCCATAATTTCACATTAAATTTGTAATATGGATTTTTTTTTAGTTCTCATTATAAATCTATAATTATGCAAATATTTAAATTTCAATTGCAATATTAAATCTATAATGTGGTAAACAGACTGGGCACAATTTTATGGATAACAATTACTTTAATAAATAACTTGCGATGTGAAGTTATTCATAACCCAGTTACTAAATGCCACTCAAGGAAGAGACTATTAATTGGTATATAGCACCAAATTATCCAAATCAATTTTTAACTTAATACCATTATAAAATATTTAAGCTTAATGTCCAAAAATTCCCATATTGTCAGTATCAAGGAAGATCTATAAGCTTACTGTGGGAAACAGCCTATATTAGTATATAAGATCAAAATGTGTTTCATTTTCTATGTTAAAAATTAAGAGAAAATGAATAAGATTACTGTTATCCCTGATTAGAATTAGCCCCAGATTACAGTTGGATTTCCCTTGGATAAATTAGAATTAATATCTAACATGGTGTGAAAAACCCCTTCATTTTGGTGTGAAACTGGTTGAATTTGAATGGCAAAGGTGCCATTTCTCTTCAGTGTCAACAACTCTTTAAATGATATATCAATTGCAATCTATATTCTTCTTAAATTTCATATTGCACTTTGCTTTCATCACTATTTGCTGCCAAATGTCTTGTCATAATGAAATGAAAAATTGTGATTAAGAGGGGAAAAATTCAACAATTTTCAATGAAAGGAAATGGTAAAAGTTACATTTACAGCTAAAAGTTTGCATTTTTGCATTTTCTTTTTGAGGTTTTGATAAGATATTTGAATTCGAAATAAGAATTATTGAATAAATAAAATAATAAGGGATGTGTTTTTAATATCTTGCCAACATCAAAGAATTCAAAGTGATATATGGTTCTTCTAAATATATTTTATAAG